AGGGATCATGTACAATAAATTTGTCTAATGGATTGGTTAATTTAGGTGGAATCCTATGGGCCCTTCATACCCACTGATAAGGACAGCAGTTCCCTACCACATGGCCCCCACAGACCCCATGAAGGATTCTACCACCAAACATTATTTTATGTTGTTATAATAAATAATATTGTCAACTAGTAACCAAAAAAGTGACATTTAAATTATTCCATATAGTCCCTTTGTTAGTATACGTAGAATTTCCATTAGGTGCTGTGAAATATTAGGCAAGCCAATAGAGCAACTGAGGGAATGTATAATTTGAATAGGTTAACATGATATTGTACTTGATTGTTGGGTAAAAGCATATGCTGTGCTGTCCAAGGACTTCTTATTCCTATGAGGCAATCCAAGGCTGCTTCAAACAGATCATATTCACAAAAGAAATGCCAAGTGGAAGGAAATTCCAGATGGCAATGCCGCATCAGGTAAAGGCAGCATGAGGTTATGCGAGCCAGACTGATGTCCAAAGGAAAAATTCTTCATATTTTTCTCCCTTTCCTTTTCACTGAAAATTTATCTCATTTCACTTCAACTTGCAAAGGAACTTTCCCTTTTCCCTCCCTGACTCAGAAAACTAACTACTAATACTGTAAAGTAGGAAAACTACTTAAATCTCAGCTTCCCTGAAGAGTTTATATTTGGCATACTAGGGATATTTCCAACACCATTCCTTAAATTCCTCTAAAGACCTCTCCCACTTACAGCAGCACTTGCCCAGGACTTCAATAAGGCCTTTTTCTTCACAAGCTTCAATATTCTAAGTTACTTGGAAACTGTGATGAAAAAAAATAGGTGCAAAACAATTTTTCTAAAAGATCCCATGTATTATTCAACTTCATCTCCAAAAAAAATAGGGTATATATAATTGAAATTCATCTGTAATTATAAAAATACTCTAGATCATCTCACATATTTTTCCTTAAAAAATTCAGAAATACATCTGCTATCAATATGTAATTACATTTAAGGCCAGGCACGGTGGCTCACACCTGTAATCTGAGAATTTTGGGAGGCCGAGGTGGGGGGGATCACTTGAGGTCAGGAGTTCAAGACCAGCCTCCCCAACATGGCAAAACCCCATCTACCAAAACTACAAAATTATCTGGGTGTGGTGGCCCGTGCCTGTAATTCCAGCTACTTGGGAAGCTGAGATGGGAAAATCACTTGAATCCAGGAGGTGGAGGTTGCAGTGAGCCAAGATCGTGCCACTGCACTCTAGCCTGAGTGACAGAATGAGACCCTGTCTCTCTCTTTCTCTCTCTGTCCCTCCCGCCCTCCCATACACACACTACATTTAGGTCACCTCCCTGTTCACTTAGCCAGTGTGTCCATTCGGAAAGACACAGGAAAATAATAATGAGTTACTTCCATGTGCCAGGTACTCTACCACCTGCATCACAAGACTGAAAGATCTACAGTCTAACAGCAGGTCTGCTTTTTGTTAGCTGTGTGATATTGGGCATGCCACTCAATTACTCTTAGCCTTAATGTTAATTCTCTAGATTGGGGATAATAACAATCACCTCGTAGAGTTACTTCAGGGTTTAAATTAGTTAATGGTTGTAGTAAAGATTTAGGAACCATATTTGGCCCTTAGAGGCAGGTTCCTATAGCCAGAACCAATAAAATGGAACCAAGAACTAGAACTGTTGCAGGAAAGAGAAGTTGGCCACAATTCCTGGCAAAGAGTTGAAGAACCAAATTAGTATTCGTTCAAGAATCTTCATCCTTGGGCCTGCATCCATTTAGGGGGAAGGTACAGAGCACTCTTAGGGAGAAGCCCTGGGGCTGACTGGTCCTAACACAAAACCGAAGCGGTGGATAGGACCAGACCAGTCTCTGGAATGCAACATTTGACTCAAGTTGGCACTTAGAAGCGATGCCATAGCGTTTGCTTTGAAAAATACGTAATGTTATATAAACTGTTATTACTACATACATACATACACACTAACACACACAGGGACTTGCCTCCAAGCAGACGTGGATTTTTATGTTGCATGGCTGAACAGATGACAGAATGGATGAGTGGCTAGATATATCAGAGAAGGCAAGGAAGGTGAAAATTAGAAAAGCCATATAGGGCGATGGCTAAGCATTCAGGCTTTAAAGGCAGAATGTCTGGGTTTGAATCCTGGCTCCATTACTCACTTTTTGGTGTGAACTCAGTCAAGTTAAATAACTTTCCTATGCCTAAGTTTCCTCCTCTGTAAATGTGGATAATATTAGTAGCTACCTCATAGGATAGTTATAAGGATTTAAAAGTTACATATTTAAAGCACTTAGAAGACTTCTTGGCATAGTAAGCATCAGTTTCCTAATCAATAAAATATATTACTTCAAAAGTTGCTATAAGAATTAAATAAACCATGCCTATACAGTGCTTATCACATACATAATAAATCAATAAATATTAGGTATTTTCATTAAAACATGGATGAAGACCAAAAGAAATTTTTAAACCTGAGAAAAAGATTTCATAATGGAATATAACCAAAGATACCATGAAAATCCTTATTCACATTTTTGTGTTGAACATATTTACTGGGAAGCCATGAGTAACTTGGCACATTTATCTACTTTCCAATGTGTAAAACACATCACAATAATTCCATCTCTTAGGTCTGCCAAAGAATTTATGTCACAGATACAAAATACAAAAAAAAAAAAAAAAAAAAAAAAAAAAAAAAAAAAAAAGAAAAAAGAAAAGAAACCACAACTAGAACAGCAATTCTGAAATAATATTCCTATCATTGCTCATTCACTGACAAAAAAAAAACATTTAATCTAATAGCATAAAAATTAATAATAAAAAAGCTATTTTACTAATAGAGAAATGACTGGAGAAAACAACACTCTTACTATTTTTTAAATGGGCACTCATTGAAAAACTTGCTGCAACATGCTTTCTAAAGAACAGAATAAATGTTGCCATAAAATTTAGAATTTAAAGGTTAACTAATTGGAATGCAAGTAAGTATACCTTCTATTCAGTCCATAAGGAAGCCAAGCGAGAACAGAAGTCAAGAAAATCAGGAAAATTTTGAGAGGGATTCTGTAGTCAACAGTGTCAACTGCTGAGAGGCTTAGCCAACAACTAGGAAGTGTCCATGAGGTTTAATAACAAGGACATAATTGGTGGATCGTGACAAAAATCATTGTATGGGGCAGTTGTGGTTGTGGAAAATACCAGATAAATCATAGTACAACATGGAAAATGATTTTCATAGAGAGAACAGCAAAAGATAAAAGATGAGTAGGCCAGGCATTGGTGGCTTACTTCTGTAAGCCCAGCACTTTGGGAGGTCAAGGCGGGCAGATCACGAGGTCAGGAGATCAAGACCACCCTGGCCAACATGGTAAAACTCTGCCTCTACTGAAAATACAAAAATTAGCTAGGCGTGGTAGTGTGTCCCTGAAGTCCCAGGTATTCAGGGAGCTAAGGCAGGAGAATCGCTTGAACCAGGGAGTTGGAGGTTGCAGTAAGCCTGAATCGCAAGATCATGCCACTGTATTCCAGCCTGGTGACAGAGCGAGACTCCTTCTCAAAAAAGAAAAAAAAAGATTGAGTCATTAAGTTATGTTAGAAAAAAACTTCTCCAACTTGGGGATACTCACACTAGGATTTTATAAGCTATACTTTTTATAATTTTGTTCTAATATCAATAAATAAAGCATACTAACATACAGGATTGATTGATTGATTACTGGGTCATCATTGACTCAAAGTGAGTTAGGTAACTTTAGTCTTCCACCTCAAAGATGTTAAAACACAAAAGTTTGAGATGATATACATGAAAGTTTAGACTGAATGATGTTTCACTGAATTTTGTTAAAATAATTCCGCACTAAGAAAGGATTACCCAGACTAGAGTTTCAGAAACCACTGTAACTTCTTCTGATCAGTTCTGAATAATCACTAAAATCATTCATCCATTCATCCCGACCGTGCTGTCCAATAGAAATACAATATAAGCCACAGGTATAATTTTAAATTTTCTAATATACACATTTAAAAAGTAAAAAGTAGGTAAAATTAATTTTAATATTGCCTATTTAACCAAATATCTAAAATATCATTTCAACATATAATTAATATAAAAATTATTGCTGAGATATTTTACATTCTTGTATGCTAAAACTTTGAAATCCAGTATTTATTTTACTTTTGCAACACATCTCAATTTGAACTAGACTTATTTGAAGTGTTCAACATCCACACGTGGCTAGTGGCTACTGTACTGGACAGCACAGGTCTAGAATCTAAGTTCCTTGGAAATAGGAACATAGGTTGTCTTGTTCACATATGTAACTGTAGTATTAAGAACAGTGTCTAACACATAATTAGCCCTCAAAGAATATTTGCTGAATGAATGAATGAATCAATCTATTGGTTTATATACATACTTGCACAAATTTCTGTAATACAAATGAAATTCTAATTATATTATTAGAAAAGCATATAATTATGTTAAACTCAATTCTAGCCCAGGTGAGAATTTAGTAATATATTCTTAGTCAACACAGATTCCTAAGTAGATGCATCTTTGAAACACGGTATAAAGACATTTTACTATCAATAGAAAATGTTCTTCTATCATCCTTTTAATATGATTTTCATAAACATTTAGTAGATCAAAGCTGTCACACTCCTCTAATAAAATCAAATAAATTATAGCTGTCTCTCTGAAATGGATGAATTCTACATTCATCAAACAGATGCAATTCTCGCATACTCCACTAGCATTTGCAAATAAATTTTTTTTGTCTTAAAGTCCAAACTACCGTAACACTGGCAAAAGAATATGCCAAATATAGCTTCAAACACCTGACAAAAATTAAGTCATATTCATTATTTGTATAAAGCTAAACCCCCAAAGTACTGAGATTATTTAATATAAACCAAACAGGCCCTAAACAGCTGACACTTAATAACAAAGCTTAGGGAGAAAGCTTACCTTCTCTGCCAAGAGCTCTCGTATCTTGCTGGCTTGAACTCTAAATTTCATGAGCTGGGACTCCAGAGCTACGCATCGTTCTTTCCAATCTACTGGTCCCTCTGGCTCAGAAAGCTCTGCCATATTTATTCTTAAAAAAAATTCAGCACAACACAATTAATATTCAGGAAATTCAAGGGTTGAAGAATAGACATAACAATATTAAAAAATAACAATATTAAAAAGTTGGAGAACTCACGTGTTATGATTTTTAAACTTACTACAAAGCTATATAGTAGCTTGATTACACAGTGTGGTACTTGCATAAAGATAGATATATAGATAAACAGAATAAAGGTAAGTCCAGAAAAAAAGCCTCACATTGATTTTTGGCAAGAGTGATAAGATCATTCAGTTGAGGAAAGAACAGTATTTTCAACAAAGGATGCTGGGACAACTGAATATCCATATGCAAATGAATGAATGTGGACCCACACCTCGTACCATATATACACAATAACATAAAATGGATCACAAACTTACAGTTACAAGCCAAAGCTCTAAATCAGCGTGTCCAATCTTTTGGCTTCCCTGGGCCACATTAGAAGAAGTGTCTTGGGCCACACATAAAATACACTAACACTAACTGTAGATGATGAGCTAAAAAAAAGAAAATTGCAAAAAAAAAAAAAATCTTATAATGCTTCACAAATTTGTGTTGGGCCACATTCAAAGCCATCCTGGGCTACATGTGGTCTACAGGCCACAGGTTGGACAAACTTACTCTAAACTCTTAGAAGAAAACAGGTATAAATCTTCGTGACCTTGGATTAGGCAACAGATACTTAGATATTACACCTAAAGCACAAGGAATTAAAAATAGATAAATTGGACTTCATCAAAATTTTTAAATTTTTGTGCTTCAAAGGATATTGCCAAGAAAGTGCAAAGATAACCCACAGAATGGGAAAAATAGTTGCAAATCATGTATCTCAGGGATTTGTGTCTAGAATTTATGAAGGACTCTTAGGACTCAACGATGAAAAAAGATAACCCAATTAAAAAGTGGGCAAAGGCCTAGGCGAGGTGGCTCATGCCTGTAATCCCAGCACTTTGGGAGGCTGAGGCGAGTAGATGGCCTGAGCTCAGGAGTTTGAGACCAGCCTGGGCAATGTTGCAAAACACTGTCTTTATAAAAATACACACACACACACACACAAAAAGTAGCCAGGCATGGTGGTGCATGCCTATAGTCCCAGCTATTGGGGGGCTGAGGCAGAAAGATCACTTGAACCCAGGAGGTTGAGGCCGCAGTAAACCATGTTCATACCATTGCACTCCAGCCTGGGCAACAGAGGGAGACCCCATCTCTAAAAATAATAATAATAATAAATAAAAAATAAATAAATAAATAAAAATTGGGCAAAGTATCTGAATAGACATTTCTCCAAAGAAGATATACAAATGGCCAAAAAGCACATTATTTGCTATAAGGGAAAATGCAAATCAAAGTCACAACAACATTCCACTTCACATCAAATAGGATGTTCTAATGAAAATGACATCTAACAACAAGTGTTGATGAGGATGTAGAGAAATTGGGACCCTCATACATTGTTGGTGAGAATGTAAAAATTTTACAGTTGCTTCGTAAACAGTTTTACAGTTCCTCAAAAGTTTAAACAGGCCAGCATGGTGACTCACACCTATAATCCCAACAGTTTGAGAGGTTGAGGTGGGACAATTTATTGAGCTCAGGAGTTCAAGACCAGACTATGCAACATAGCAAGATCTCATCTCTATCAAAATATTTAAAAATTAGCTGGGCATCAGGGAGCTTATCTGTGGTCCCAGCTACTCCAGAGGCCTGGGTAAGAGGATCGCTTGAGCAGTGAGCTATGATCATACACTGCACTCCAGCCTGGGTAACAGAGTGAGACCCTGTCTCAAAAAACAAAAAAGTGTAAATATAAAGTTATCAAGTTATTGGAGTAACTTTATATTTTGTATACCAATACAAAGTATTGGTAACTTTATACTTGGCATTGGAGTTGCTGGGTCATATGCCAAGGGATGGGATCATATGCCAAGAGACGAAACACATATCCACTCTGAAACTTGTATATAAATGTTCAGAGCAGCGGTATTCATAACAGCCAAAGAGTAGAAATAGCCTGTGTCCACCATCAGATGAATGAATAAAATGTGGTAGATCCATCAGGGTGCTTTGGCTCATGCCTGTAATCCCAGCACTTTGGGAGGCTGAGGTGGGAGGATCACCTGAGATCAGGAGTTTGAGACAAGCCTGGCCAACGTGGCAAAACCTGTCTCCACTGAAAATACAAAAATTAGCTGGATGTGGTGGTGCGGAACTATATCTCAGCTACTAGGGAGCCTGAGAGAGGAGAATTGCTTGAACCTAGGAGGTGGAGGTTGCAGTGAGCTGAGATTGCACCACTGAACTCCAGCCAGGGCAACAGAGTGAGACTCTGTCTCAAAAATAAAATGTGGTATATCCATACAATGGAATATTATTCAGCCATAAAAAAGGAATACAGTACTAATATAGCCATGGTTGAGTCTTGAAAACATGCTAAGTGAAAGATGCCAGACACAAAAGGCCACATATTGTATGAATCTATTTATATGAAATGTCCATAATAGGCAAATACAAAGGACAGAACGTAGGTTAGTGGTTGCCAAGGGCTGTGGAGGAGAAGGCAGTGGAGACTGACTACAATGGATATGTGGTTTCTTTTTGGGGTGATGAAAATATTCTAGAATTAGGTATTGGTGATGGCTACACAACCTTGTGAATATACCAAAACCCAGTGAACTGTATACTTTAAAAGGATAAATCTTATAGTTTGTGTCTTATATTAAGATCTCAATAAAAAAAGATCGCATATTTACAAATGACTAAAGAAAAAGTCACAGTTTAAATGGAAGTATACTAGGATCACATTTACAAATTTAATGATCCATTATTTGTGGTTATCCCCGCCAAGAATTTTATGATTAGCTCAAAAAATTAAGAGGTAACTATTAACCTCAAATATGAAAAGTATTATACATATATCTTACCTGGAAGGTACTTTGCTATGTTAATGACACAATAAATTAATTCAAAGTTAAACATACTTATTTAGTTATGCTAATTATGTATTTTATTGTGAAGTACCAAAGACTTAAGAATATTACTAAATCAGCATTTAACATCTATATTCCCTATTCGAGGGCCATAATAAAAAAAATCAAAACGGTAAATTGGTAGGATGATGGTCTGCACTGAGATCTAGACATCTGATTCCCTCATTTCATTCGGTAACTGCAGTTAGTTAAGAAGTATAAAGCAACAGTTTTATTAGTGCACCATCTTGGGTAGTTAAAAATTCTAATTTTATACAATAGCCACCATCCTTTTCACTACCACTAATGTTACAGAACTATATAACACTGGGACGGTATATATAACTATATAACCTAACCGACTGCTGAATAAATAAATTATCACATCTATATTCTGAATTTGAAAGTAATCTTCACTTCAGGGTACAGGAAAAAGTCTTGGTGTTCCAAATACCACCAGTGACTTTTGGAAATATTTACTGACACAAGATAAACTGTTTACAATTGTGGAGTGAATGCTCTTTTCTCTGAATCTCTGACTTCCTGTTTCTCTTCCAAACCCCAAAAAGGAAAGAAAAAGAAATGAAAGAATTCTTCTACTTAGGCTTACCCTGATGAAGCGCAGCGTTAGCCTCGTTTTTGCCTCTTAAGGGACAGCTTAACTGGGCTAGGTGAGAGAGAGAGAGAGAGAGAGAGAGAGAGAGAGTGTGTGTGTGTGTGTGTGTGTGTGTGTAAAAGATGTTTCTCGACGAGACTGAAGCATGCCTTGTTTAAGGAACCTTCTGACCACCACGTCGGTGGCACTGCCCGGAACAGCAGAGCTCCTCACTGCACACTCCTCTGGGACACACCGCTGTGCGGGCCAGGCTTGCAAGACTGGCATTTTCACAAAGAAATCAGTGACCTTCAGGTAGCCCACCACCAGAGCTTTTCCAATGTAAACGGTTCGACTTCTATTTCCACAGCGTTTCGTGAAACAAAACCTACAGCTAAAAAGTGCTGTCCTCTAAAAAGTGCCCCACTAACTTCAGGGACAGTGGTTTCAAGGTAGGTCACCTCAGGGTGCTCTGACGCACCAGCAACTCGAGGTGTACAAAATGCCTCTTTAAAGTTTTGAGTTT